ACATATTCTAACGAAGTAGCTTACTAACTAGAAGCGCTTCGTCGTATCCTAATAAAGCGGCTTACTAGCTAGAACTAGAAGCGCTTCGATATATCCTAATAAAGCGGCTTACTAGCTAGAACTAGAAGCACTTTATTATATTCTAATAAAGCGACTTACTAAATAGAAGCGCTTCGTTGTATTCTAACGAAGCGGCTTACTAACTAGAAGCGCTTTATCGTATCCTAACGAAGCGGCTTACTAGCTAGAACTAGAAGCGCTTCGACGTATTCTAACGAAGTAGCTTACTAGCTAGAACTAGAAGCGCTTTGTTATATCCTAATAAAGCGGCTTACTAACTAGAAGCGCTTCGTCGTATCCTAACGAAGCGGCTTGCTAACTAGAAGCGCTTCGACGTATTCTAACGAAGCAGCTTACTAACTAGAAGCGCTTTATCGTATCCTAATAAAGTAGCTTACTAGCTAGAACTAGAAGCGCTTCGATATATTCTAATAAAGTAGCTTACTAACTAGAAGCGCTTCGTCGTATTTTAATAAAGCGGCTTACTAACTAGAAGCGCTTTATCGTATTCTAACGAAGCGGCTTACTAGCTAGAACTAGAAGCGCTTCGACGTATTCTAACGAAGTAGCTTACTAACTAGAAGCGCTTCGTCGTATTCTAATAAAGTAGTTAGTACTATATAATAACACGTTTCTATAGAATATATATAGTTACAAAGCCGAAGGGAAATGCTTTAGAGGATATAAGAAGAGCTACGAGTAGGAGGTAGCGAGGTATAACCCTAAGCCTCGCTATATCGCTAGTTATAGCTAATTAGCTAGAGCTATATTACTAGTTATAGCTAATTAGCCTAACGTAGGCGTAGTCGAGATACGACTTAGAATACGACCGCCTTCTTATTTAGCTCGTAATATATATAGGCGGCCTACGAGCAGGCGCGAGAATATATTCTTTTATGCCTTTAATATTATAATATCGAATAAATAGAGAATAGTTCTATAAGGGAGGCGATAAATAGTAAATAGGGCTCGTCGACGTCGCGCGCGAGGGCGAGCGTTCCTATCGCTAATTATAGCTAATTAGCCCGCGGCCCTTGCTATATCGCTAGTTATAGCTAATTAGCTCGACGCCGGCGCCCTACTATACGCCCGCTATACGCCTAACTCTAACCCTAAAGTGCCTTATAGTAGAGATTTTATTTAAATTACTTAGACACCCTAGCTAATTTATATATAAACTAAGTACTAAATATAGTAATAGGGTACTTACAAACTTAATATTACTAGTATAACACTCCTAGGTTATAGTATAATACGTAGAAATAAAAATATCGTTTTTAAACCCTTTTACTTTATTACTTAGAGATTTTATTTAAATTACTTAGACACCCTAGCTAATTTATATATAAACTAAGTACTAAATATAGTAATACGGTACTTATAGACTTAGTATTACTAGTATAATACTCCTAGGTCGTAGTATAATACGTAGTCGCGCGCAGTAAGCGTTTCTGTCGCTAGTTATAGCTAATTAGCTAGCGGCCCTTATTGTATCGCTAGTTATAGCTAATTAGCTAGACCCCTGCCCCCCTACCGTACGCCTATTCCTAACCCTATAGCTACGTAGGGTAGATCGGCGGACCTAAGTCAAAATTCTCGGAGTTAAACTCGCTTATTTACGCTTATACCTATGCCTATAACTCCTACCTCTACTCCTATACTATCTATTCTATTATTAGAGCGAGATCTCTTTACATTCTTTATATTCCTTTATTTAACTTAGTAATAGCTATCGTAGTTGCTATATCCTACTATACGCTACTATCTATATAAGAAGCTATATAACTTATTAACTTCTTTAAATCTAGCTATAAGTTAGTCGACTCGTTATTAACTAGCTTCTTACGCTTCTTCTATCTACGCGCTAACTATATACTCGTAGACCTATCTCTTCTACCTAATAGAGTTAGAGTCGGAGTTATACTCGACGATAAAGACCTATAATTAAAGTTTAGTCGTACTAACGGCTATATTATTAACCGAGAGTCGTCTTCGTCGGTAGTATTATTAAAGTCGCTTATATCTTCGTCTAGATAATCTATAGTTAGGTCTTAATCTTCTATAACCTCGTTATTATTATCTAATAGCGTATCTACTATTTTCTTATCTCCTTATCTAACTATTATCTTCGCTTACTTAATCTACGACTTTACTATTTCTATAGTAGCCGCCTATACTATCTTCTTATAGTCGACTTGTTTCTATTTCTTCTTATCCTTAAACGCTATTTTATCCTTTATTACTATACTTATATTAGTCTCGTTCTTAGTACTAGTCTTAGATAGATTAGTAAAGTAGGTACGCTACTGTATCTCGTAGGTCTTTATTATACGGTCGAGACTATTATAGATAGGTCCGCTATTCTACTAGAAGAGAGCCGTTATAACGTTCTAGAAGCTGTCTCTAAATTGGTACTAATTATCGTTATAGATATATACTAATAGTAATAACGCCTCGTCGTCTAATCTACCTCTTCTACTAGTATATAGTATTAGTACTAGAAGTCTACGTTATAAAAACTTTTTTCCTAATCGCGACGATCCTATCGATAGGATTACTTAGGAGCCTTAGGATCCTTAAAATCCTTAGGATTATACGTTAAAGATCCTATTAGATAGGATCGCTCGGAATCGCGGAGTCGCGATCCTATCGATAGGATCGTCGCGATCGTAAATTTCGAGACGGGCTATCCCGAAATTCGAGGCCTAGGAACGTAAAGGACGTAGGATAAGCGTAGGATAAGTTAGAGCCCGATTACTACTACTAATACTACGAGGTATTTTAGGATATTACGTATTAATATAGGTTAAGTTTAGCGGTTTAGTAGGTTTTTTTTATAAATAATTTTTTTTCGTTAAGGTCTCGTTAAATATAGCCGATATTCCGTTAAGGTTTCTTTTTAAAGCCGACGCTTAATAAGCAGGACTTTAGAAAAAAAGTATACTCGAAACACTCGAGATTCCTTTCTAGATTCCTAGATAACTACTAGGTATTAAGACTTGAAAACTTCTAATACTCTTGTTAGTAGGTACAAGATTAAGTTCTTCTTTTTAGATTTCTAAAAACAGTAAAGTATAACTTAGAAAAAGCTAAAATACTATATTACTTATTTCTTTTCCCTAGCTTTAGTTTCGTAGAGAATCTATAAATTTTATATTTTTTTATAATAATATATTAAAAAAAGAGTACCTTTCTACTATATTACTAAGCTATAAACCTACTAGAAAAAAAGATAAATTAGAAGTAAGATATCTAGAAAGCGATTTTCTTTCCTTTATATCTTTTTATCTAGAAGGTTTACGGCTTAGTAATATATAACAAAAATGTTCTATTTTTAGTATAGTATTATACAAAAGTCTAACTTTTATAAGTTACCTATTTATCGTTCTAGGATAGCTTAGGATCGCTAGGATTAATAGAATCGATAGGATCGGTAATAAAGTTTTCGTAACGTACTATTCGCTATATTACGGCTATCTCTACCTATATCTCTAGTTACTTTTCTACCCTCTTCTTTAAGCGTAGCGATAGTAGTCTTTTGCCGCTAAGAAGCGCTTTTCTTCTTTAATCGACTAGCTAGTTAACTCGCTATATTACTAGGCGTAGGTATCTTACTTAGTACTAGTATACGTAGTTACGGAGTATCCGGAGGTACCGATAGACGCTCGATTAACGGCTTCGCTATCTCTTCTTATACCTTAAACTAAGCCGCTCTCGCTATAGCGGCCCTTTAAGCGGTAGTAATATTATTAGTATAATTTACGGCTACTTATTATATCTTAACTTTAGTACGAGACAAGGCATTAATAGCTAGCGAGTCGTTATAATAGAAGTCGCTCGATACTATAGAGGGCTCTTAAGAGGCTATTACTAGAGCTAGAGTTATACTAGCGTAAATAGTAGAATCTAAATAGAACGTTATCTAAGATATTATACTTTAATTTATTAAGAAATACTAATAAAGTAGAGTAGTTCTAGTAGTACGCGATTCTATAGGAGTTCTACGCGTTATAGGTACGAGATAGAGTCTCTACTAAGCGGCCTCTTCTACCCTATCTAACTATTCCTAATACTTAGTATCTAAATAAAGGTATAAGATCTATCTATAGAGGCTACTCGATAACCGGAGCGGCCTCTATAGGTCCGGTTTAACTATTGCCTAATAGAGCCGCTAAGAGTGTCCGGATCTAGTATATCCGAAGGTATTAGTATTAGCGTAATAAGTAGCTAAAACGCTCTACTAGGTCTACTTATAGCATCGTACGGACATACTAATATAATACCTTCTATATACCGCGCTTATCGCGATAAGAAGGCAGTAGACCTAGGGAAGTATATAACCTATACAAAGCTAGAATGGGTTCATAAAATGCCTCAGCCGAAGGAGCATTAGGCACTGCTCAAGGAGGTCGAGGAAGCTAGGGAAGAGCCGGACTATGTACACTAATCGATTATACCGCAATCGAATGAATGTCACTATTACCCTCGGCGGCGGTATTTGCGAAGCGCGCAAAGCGTATAACACCAAGTCGGTCACTCGTGCAAGCCTCAGGTCGCGGCGTCAGGATCGCAGACGCATTGCAAAAGCGTGCTGCTCGGGACGGAGACAGATTTTTCAAGATCTCTAACTGAGGTTCGGTTGTCCTATGGGATCGTGACTTTCGGAGAGTTGCCGGTCCGATTGTACGAGTGCAGCATTGAGAACATCTGGATCTTAGCTGCCTCGGTGATGCGACAAGGACTCACTACTCATCAGATGAAAAATTCGAACATAAGGTGGTTGAACGTAGCAAAGTCATCAGACTCCGCACTGTTATGAGATCGACCTCGGCAGTTCGGAACTCTATTGTAATCATAATACCAACATTGAAGTACCTACACTTCATCGAGACAACACCAACGCAAAATCCTTCACTGCGCTCATCAAATCGTCGTCCAAGATGTCCTCTGGCCAACCTACTCCCACCAAGCTACCTCAATCCTACCCATCTCTCCCATACCGGGAGATCCGAATATCCCATTATCCCGCCTCCTCGCCTGAACCAACTCCAATCCTAATATGCACACTCTACAGACCCAACCACAACAATCAATTCACAGACATCATGACCGATGAGCTCGAAAACTTCTTTCGACTGGCCAGCATTGACGACCGTGTCAAATGCATCGTCCTCACAGGTCATGGTAGGATGTTTTGTGCCGGACAGGATCTACACCAAGGATTCAAGCTTCGAGGCAATGGGAAATGGGAGACTGAGAAGACGCATCGAGATGGGTAAAATTGTCCTTCTGATTTTGTTTGATTTATGACTGCTGACGGAGAATGAATGTAGTGGAGGTCGAGTTTCCCTCGCAATCCACCAATGTACAAAACCCACCATCGCGGCAATTCAGGGCCATGCGATAGGTATCGGTATCACAATGACACTGGCCTGCGTCATGCGAATCGTGTGGTCGAAGGCCAAGATTGGTTTCGTGTTCTCCCAACGAGGTGTGGTTATCGAAGGTTGTTCGAGTTTCTTCCTGCCGAGATTGATTGGAGCTGCGAGAGCACTTGAGCTTTGCGTAACTGGCTCCACGATTCCTGCGAGTAGTAGGAAGCTTGAAGGCTTGTTTTCGGACTTGATTGAGAGGCAGGAAGATGTTCTTCCAAAAGCCCTCGAGGCTGCGGAAGGGATTGCGAGAGAGACGAGTACGGTCAGTACGTTCATGATTAGGGAAATGATTTTGCGTGGAATGCAGAGTGCCGAGGAGGCGCATTTGCTGGAAAGTCGAATCATGGCGCACATGAGGGGTGAGGCGTGAGTATCGACCTTGATGGATTGCGTGTTGTGATTTCAGTGGTGCTGACTTGGCTTGCAGCGACAATGATGAGGCTGTTGCAGCGTTTCTGGAGAAGCGAAAGCCGACTTTCACAGCTACGATCGAAAAGGATTCGCCGCCTGTACATCCATGGTTCACACGCGTCAATACCAAGAACCTGGCAGTTGCAGATTCGAGCACGAATGGGAAGCCAAGATTATGAGCAAAATGAGAAATACAGACTCATGTTCTGTGTCTAATTTCTTCGTTAACTGTGAACCGATACTTCCTGTTATTGAGCCGATCCCAGGCAAAATCAGGGGACTGTTTAGGGTAAGGGTCAAGCCCATCATTCTATACTAGACCTAGAGGATGACTCTCTATGTAGTGTATAGTGTAATAATACCTCCTATTATTCGACCTATAGCTAGTGCAAGCACAAGGCCTTACAAGTAGAATCCCGTTACGGTGCCTCGCTTTATAGGTAGAAAGTACTCTACAATAATATCTTAACTTATTATAGGGAAGAAGGCTCTAATAGTACGGGATTTAGTTAGCATAGTCTTAAAGCTGTAGTCCCTACTGTATATTATTACGCATAGCGCAGTGGATTACTTACGTAATACTATATTGCCGGCGGTTAAATTAGCTTCGTTAATTGCCTATATTCTATCTCTTCTCTAGTCTAAAATATAGTATAGAAAATTCTTTAAGCTAAGAAGTTACGTACCTGTTATATAACTAAGCTAACGCGTTATATACCCCCTTAGCTTGTATAAAAAGAAGGGGCTTGCCTTCTATTTTAGGCAAGGTAGTTAATACTTCTTTATATACAAACAAAAGAAAAATTAATCCTTTTAACTTCTTATATAGTACTTTATTAAATAGCAAAAAATTAGTTTAAATCTATACTATATATAAGAGAGTCTTATTTTATACCCCGATTACCCTAGAAGGATATCGTTATATAATCCGGACTATATATATACCTTTATATATAGTCCCTATTACTAGGAACTATTGTCTTCCTACGTAGTTAAAGTATAGACCGACACTATTAAGCCTTATATAAGAACTCGTGTCGTTAGTAAAGTTAGTTTAATTTAAACTTAGCCCTTTATACCGTTACTATCGGTTATTAGATTAATCGTATAGGTAGCGTCTATTTAATTAGATAAAGGATTAAGTAAGGTATATATTAGTTAAATAGATTTAATAAATTAGAATAGGTAACTTAAACTAAGGACGCTACCCTTAGCTAAGACTACTATACTATTATTACTAGCACTAATATAATCGCCGCAGACTTGTTATTAGTTAGTAGAAGTAACGTTTAAAGTAATAATATAGGCGACAATAACGTATTAGGAAGTAAGGTTGAATCCGCTATCCTAATTAGTCGTCGCTATCGTATTAGACACTTTTGTTAGCGCTAATCGATAAAGGTATGTTTAATTAACTTAGCTATAGCTAGTAGGGGGGGGGGGGGGGGGGGCCCCCCACCCATTGTTTTAAACAAGTGCCCTCCCTTTGCTGAACAGGGAAAGGGTTTTGTAAAAAGAGTTGCCCCCTCAGACACCCCTAGGGGGTAACCCCAACTTACCCTGCGGGCAATTAGTTGAAAGCCCTAAAACCCCAAATTGCTCATAAAACCCCTCACAACTCTTAAGGTATTAAAGCTTGGAAACTCTCCTGGCGGGGG